AGTATGTGGGTTGATCATATATGATTGTTCACCTCATTAATCCATAGTCCATGTAATATTCAATAAATCAGTATTCACTAAAATGATAATATATTTACGACTTCAATTAAAGTGTTGTAGTGTCGATTAAGGATGACATAGATATGGGCAAACGTGGCAAATCTATTGAACTGCTTATTTCATTTTATTTATGATTTTTTTTTTTAACTGTCGTCTACTACTTACATGTTTGGAAACGTTTGAATAGTAGATTGTGAACACTTTCGTGAGTTGTACGATTCTTTCCTCACCTCTATCGAAACTAGTTTGTTTGTTATTGTTGTACTTGATGTAATATTACCAATATGCATATAATGATAAATGAATCACTAATCACCAATATAAATGCATGTAATGTCTAATGTGTTGCCACATTTTGTTATGTCGTGAATTGTTTTTTTAGTCGGTGGTGTGCTCAAAATGAGCTGATGAAATGTGTTTTGATTCAAGTATAAGGCTCAAGTGTGTGTATATGAGATAGTGGCAAAATGGTAAATATGGCAAACTCTTTAATTGGCTTATTTTAATCTAATTTAATCATACCTAATCAATTTTCAGATACTTATACCATAAAATCACATTAAATATGAGGGTCACGTAACATCAATCGGTTTCAGATTCGGCCGCCGATAAGGCCTTCAAATAGCAGTTTAAACATATAAACATGAACAGATAATCAGACAATCAAACAGATAGAATGCAATTAACTAACATATACTCAGTCAATTCAGTTTCAACTTCAGTCAGTCGGTTCAGTATTTCATTCAGTTCGATTATCAGTTAGTTATCAGTCATTATCAGCTTCGTTTAACAGTAATCGGTGATTAACGGTAATCAATCGGTCATAAATCAGTAAACAGTACGAGGGTTGTTACAAGGGGCGCTGCCCCCTAGACCCCCGCGAGCTGACCGGGTAGCTCAACCCCCGATCGGCCCAGTCGAAGTGGCAAAACATGAAAGAAGGATCGAAACCTGGATCGCTACATTGTTTATGATATTTTTATAATATTTTTTCTTGGTTTTCAGCTTACAACTCTAACCATATGATTGGGGTCTTCCAACTTAAAACCCAAGATGTAATTTTTTATTTTCATGTGAAGTCTCTAGAAATGAGTTTTAATTTTCTGAGGGAAAGAAATGAAAACAACTTTGTTGTCTGTGTTATCTAAAATCACAAGATATGGGGATAAAAACTCAAGATGGTTCAAGGTTGAGATGAAGAGTTTTGGTATTAAACTACCCAAATTTTGATCCAAGTTATTTCTATGATAATCTCAAGTTTGAATGTTGTGGGATAAATCTCAATTGTGTTCTTGAAATTCATATATTTCCACTTGTTCTTGTAAGATAATTTTGTTTATGCTTGCTTGTTCACAATTCTTTTTGTTTCATTATTTTTTCCTAAGTTTTCTTCACTCTCAATTCACACCTTTATCTGTTCCTTTCTTTATTTCTTTCATTATGTTATTTTCACACCATAATTTTTGAAAAAGATAAAAGAATAAAAAATAATATTTTAATGAAATAGAATTTTATAATAGAGAGTTTGATGAAATGTGTACATAAAAAAGAGGCTAGCTAAAATATAAAAGTGAATTTTAGATTATAATTTAACTCAAAATTTATTGAGACTGATGTGAATGCTCTAATAGCAATTTACCAAGTAGTCCAACATGGCACACTACTCTAGTGAACAAGCAAAAAGGACAGAAATGGCACAAGAAAAAGAGAGCCATCCCTACTGCAGCAACTCAAACTCCCTCTTATATTATAGTAGTATAGATATTAGGATTTATTATGGAATGTCTAAATGTGAATTTTTTTTATTTTTATTTTCACATTATGAGTAAATTACCATTAAGAATATTTTTTCTTTATTATGAATTAATTCATATGTCTTAAATTTGTGATCTCAACCAAGACCATTAACAGGTTATGTTTGCCATTAAAAAAAAAAACGAAAGGTCAATGAAGAGTTGCTAGTAACAATTTCAAAAGTCAATGAGCAATGCAAAAATAAGGAATTTTATGTTTTTCAATGATCATTACAATTCAAAGTACAAGACATTTTATTACAATGCAAACACGAATATGAAATGGCATTAGTCATATTCTCCAATACTCATTTTATTGCCATTGCAATACAAAATACAAGAGTGTGTTGAATCAACATGTTTAGGATATTAATATTGCATTCAATTCCTTCAATATTCAAATTCAATGGATTGTTCTCCACTTCATGAGTGTTGGTAGCTATAAACCTCTAGCTATCTTGCTCGTCTTTGAGTTTCATGTTTAATATGTTTGACTCTTACGAGATTACACCATGCTTAAAATTTGTATATTTTTTTCTCACGTCAATATAATAAAGTCTTCCTTTGTTTGGCGTCTCGGACTCTACCACCCAAATTTAGGGCAGTGCAAAATACCGTCAAATCCGCTAAAACCGCACCGTTTTAACCGCTAACTACTGTTTAAACTTTAAAATTTATAATTCACCAACCGAACCCCTCCGCTCCGATATAGTTAATACATATATATTTTTTAACTTCTAATAAAATATCAATATAAAAATGAGTATGATGGAGATTTAAGATATTAAATTTATTACAAATTAGTGGTTATATATATGAAACATATTATATAAAATTACTTTATGTTATATATCTAAAAAACATTATACAAATTAATGTTATATATTATGCAAATGTATGATAATTAGTTAGAATATTCTTCAATTCGTCAATCTGCCAAAAATCGCCTAAACAGCAATTTGTCAATCCACTAACCTGTCATTCAGCTTATAATTTTACTCTCAAACTGCCCGAACCGTACCGCGCATACCCCTAACTGCAATTACACCGCAATTACATTTTTTTCTTTTAAATCTCGTCGCGATGGTCTCACCCCTATCTCCACCAGTACCACTAGATGCCGACGCTAAACATTTGGGGAAAAAAAAAATTCTAGCAGAAAATTCAACATCAAATTCAACCATTATTATCTCATAACAATTATGAACATTATGAGGTCATGCTCCATATGAATCAATCTTTCAGTACTTTTCAACTTTTATAAATTTATGAGAATCAATTTTTAGTATTTATCAACTTTTATAAATTCATACATTCATAAATTTCACAAATTCAAACAAATATCGATTGTAACTGGCTATAAATTTGATAAATTTTTTTCCTCTTTTGTTTGGCCTTTCTTCAATAATGCATGTGAATCAAATTGATCGAAATTTTGAACTACATCTACACTCCAAATAAATATTGATTTTTTCATTAACTTAGCCTTCAAGCAAACACTCAAAAATTCAACAAACTAATTTTTTCATTTACTTAGCCTTTAAACAAACACCCAAAAATTCAACAAAATTTATTTTCATTAATTTAGCCTTCAAGCAAATGTCCAAAAATACAGTTGAAAGAGAACTACATCTACAACTAATAATCCATGATTAATTTGTCACAAAAGCTCCAAATTAACAAAAGCCCCAAATTTTTTAAATTCTAGGGTTTGATAAAAAGACATTCCAAATATGCAAAAAGAAATTAAAAATAAAGTATATGAAACAAATAAGACTCATATTTTCATACCTTTTTTTTTATTATTTTTTCTATCAGCAAAACAAACTTTATTGATGAACCACAAATGAATTACAAAGTGATACGCCAAAAAAGAAAAGGCAAGTGCTCAAGTATCACAACACACAATGACAATCCCAACTAAGTTAGCGCTCACATAAGCGCCTAATCATTTGCTAGCACAAAACCAAGTTTGGTAAGGCACCAACCAAACCACCAAGATAACAGCAAACACCACTCGAAATTAATCCAACACCAACAACTCAGCAACAAAACCATAGCACAGCAGCAACCATTAGTGAAAAAAAAGTCACTTAACAGAGCAACTTCTACTAAATCTTCATACTGCTATAACAAAGCCCCTATATTTTCATTGTGATCAAAGATGGTGTTCTTGGAAGAACTCACAGCAAAAATCGTGATAAAAAAAACACAGATTATGAAAGTGGAGGTGTATAAATCGCCGACCGCCAGAAACGTGAGATAAAGAGAAGTTTTTTTTAGATATTGTCGTTGCCAGTAATGTGAGATCCCTTTGAAATTGTGTTACAGTGTTTGGGTTGTATTTTGAGATAAATTTTCAAAAAAAAAAAATTGGGAAGAGAGTTTAAAAATTTTCTTAATTTGTTTGGATGTATATTTTGAAAATAATTTTGGAGTTTGTGAGTTTGGAATGATTTGATATTTTGTTGTAATTGAGTAGATGTGTATGAGAGAAAAAGTGATTGAGAATGATAGAGGAGAGAGAAGAGAGAAAAAGTAATTGATTGATGTGTAAAAGAAAGAAAGTGATTTTAGAAGAAAAAAAAATTCAAAAAATTTGAACCAAATAAAATTTGAAAATTTTTCTCAAAAATTGTATCTTGAGATACAAACCAAACAAGCCCATAGAATCACAAAACTTTCTCTCTCTAGGTAAAATATTCTTTTCTTTTTTTCTTCTTTTTTTTTTTAATAATATATTGGGAAATCCACCAAAATGAGTTGGTCACTACCAACTCATTCATGAAGCCTTTAGCCTTATCGATTTTATTATATGTGTAATTCAAAAAATTTCATCATCCCTGACGTTTACAAAAATATAAAATCACAAAACTTAAAATCACAGAACTTTCTCTCTCTAGGTAAAATATATTCTTTCTTTTTTTTCTTCTTCTTCTTTTTTTAATAATATATTAGGAGATCCACCAAGATGAGTTGGTCACTACGGGGTCTTTTGGCAAGTTGTCAAAAAAATCAACTTTTTGGCTTTTCAGCTTTTTTAGTAAAAAAAGTCAGTTTTTTTATCTAAAAAAACCCAGCTTTTTTTCAAAAAAACCACTAAAAAAGTTAAAAAGTTAAAAAGTCAAAAAATTAATTTTTTACCAATTTCTCAAAACACCATTGCCTTTCTTCTTCTTCTTCTTTTTTAACAATATACTGGGAGGTTCACCAAAATGAGTTGGTCACTGTCAAACTCATTCATGAAGAAGACTTTCCGGACAAATTAATCCTGATGCCTAACATTGTTGATTTTATTACATGTATAATTCCAGATTTTTCATCATTCTTCACGTTACTCATGCTTTACCTACCCCCACACAGCCGCCAACCTTAGACGACTTTAATGGGGCCAGTACCAAATAATATTCAGTTTTTTTTTTTTAAACAGATAGGCACAAATAATATTTGTTATTTGGGACCATGTATAAATCTTGAGTGAATGGTCCATAACGAGATAGACCATTTCAACCCTCTTCAACACTTCACACACTTCCCTAACAATGAATCCTCCAAATGTCCAGTACATCTCAGAGTGCTTCATCAAACCCAAGTCTTCAGCAGACAAAGAGGAGACAAAGCAGCCAATAATCCACTTGGCTCCATGGGACCTAACCATGCTCTCAATCCATTACATCCAAAAGGGCCTTCTCTTTGTCAAGCCCTCTTCAATGAATGATCAAGAAAACACAGTCCAAGCTCTCTTGGAGAGGCTCAAGGAATCTCTCTCTCGCACTCTGGTCCCTTTCTACCCACTTGCCGGTCGGCTAGCCACATCCAAACAAGAAAACCCACCTCATTACTATGTCTACATTGACAACCACAACAGTCCCGGCGCCAAATTCATCCACGCCACGGTGAATTTGACCGTCTCTGACATTCTTTCGCCAGTAGACGTCCCTCAAGTGGTGCAATCATTCTTTGACCATGACAGGGCCATCAACCATGATGGGCATACCATGTCGTTGCTATCAATTCAGGTGACAGAGTTGGTTGATGGCATCTTCATAGGATGTTCCATTAACCATGTGGTGGTTGATGGAACATCGTACTGGCATTTCTTCAATACTTTGTCAGACATTTTCATGACAAACAATTCTTCCATTTCTCGACCCCCTATTCTCAACCGATACAGCCCTGTTCTCAACCTTCCTTTCACCCACCACGATCAATTCATCAGCAGGCACGAAGCACCGCCATTAAGAGAGAGAATTTTCCACATCTCCTCAGAATCCGTAAAGAAACTAAAAGCGAAAGCCAATGCAGAGCAGCAAACCAACACAATATCCTCCTTGCAATCCGTGAGCGCGCTAATCTGGAGGTGCATCACGAGGGCGCGCAGCCTGCCCTGCGATCAGGAAACCAGTTGTAGAATGGCAGTCAATAACCGAACACGAATAGAACCGCCGTTGCCAGAGGAGTATTTTGGGAATTCCATTCAAATAGTGAGTGGCATTGCTAAGGCTGGCGAGCTGCTCAAGCAAGGGCTTGGGTGGGCAGCGTGGCGGCTGAGGGAAGTGGTGGCGAACCACAACGATAAGGCCGTGAGGGAGTCAATGGAGGCGTGGATGAAGACTCCATTTATAATACATATGGGTCAATTCTCCGACCCTTGCAGCATCATGGTGGGGAGTTCGCCGAGGTTTGAAATGTTTGGGAATGAATTCGGGATGGGGAAAGCGGTGGCCATTAGGAGTGGGTATGCGAATAAGTTTGACGGGCTAGTGATGGCGTTCCCGGGATATGAAGGCGGAGGGAGCATGGATTTGGAGGTGTGCCTCTTGCCGGAGTCGATGAATGACCTTGAATCCGATGGGGAGTTCATGGGTGCCGTCTGTATATGAGTATCTGATCAAAATACATTACTGAGATAATGCAAACTTAGTTGTGTATATTTCATATTATAAAACTAATGTTTCATTTCCCTTGATGGATTAAATAAATAATAATAGTTTCACGTACATGCAAACTAATGTTTCATTATAGAATTTTTGTTTAACCTTACACCCCATTCTTTACCGAAACCTTTACCTACCCCACACACCCAGCAACCTTAGACGACTGGGTTCAGTACCTAATGCAAATAAACTATATATAAATCTTGAGTGAATGGTTAAACATGAACTAGTCTACATTTTCAAAGAATTTATGTTTGTACATTGCGGCATTTGATCAAACACGTAGCAGACATGAAGAGAAGTTAAAGAAATCTAAGAAAATATAACCCATAGAGAGTAAAGATACAATCATACAACAAAGCAATCATAAGAAAGGAAATCAAACAGAATATTCAAAACGTGTTGGGACTATGGACACCAGAAATCAATCACACACAAAAACACGAGATTTACGTGATTTGGCAATTAGCTACATCACGGGAGAGATATCCATTATAGAATTATTCCGAAGGGAGATTATGGTACTCACACCTCACAACTCTCCATAACACTCTCACTCACAGATTATACCCTCTATCACTCCCATATGTGTCTTCAACCCCTTCTCACTCATCTCAATTTATAACCAAAAGAAGAGGAGTATGTGAAGTGGCATTCATAATTGACCAAGGTGGTGTCACCCTCACTATCTTCCTTTAGTGAGTTGGTGTTGCCCCCACCACCCTTCTTTAGCGCATGGTGCCATTCTTTAGCACACCCATACTACGTGAGCTGGAAGCTAAAACCGAGAGAGAAAAGATCAAAAGTATATTCATAGCCAAAACCGAATAGAGAGAGAGAGAAGGGATTAAATAAAAATAAAAAAAAAATACCTGGTGATGTTTATCAATGTCCCCAATTGAGAGAAATAGAGCAGAAAGTGCACTGAAACAGTCACTCAATCGTAGATATGAGAGAGAGCAATGAGCAACCAACAATCGTCTCTTCGACTTGGATAGCCTTCGCTGGTGCTTTTTCTAATTTTTACCTCTTGTTTGGTTTTCGAGTTTTAAAAATAATTGTTGAGTCTTTTCAATTCGTTTATTACTGAACTCTTTCTCTCTACAAAGCCAACCACGCCCCTCTCTCTCTAATCTCTTTCTATAGACGGATGACCCAGAGCTTCATTCTCTCACTTTCCCTCCTCTTTTACTCCCTCCTCCATTGTCCATTAACCCCTACCCTCTTCTCTCTATGACCACATATATTTCTCTTCACGTTAATAAATGGAGACATATATTGGCCTGTTTGGGAAGTGTACTTTTAGCTTCTTTTTTTTAGGTTAAAATTTGAAAAAAAAAAAAAATAGATTAAAATACTTAATAAAATAAAATATTACATTAACTTCATAATTATTTTATTTTTCCTTTCATAAATACCCTATCTAACTATAAAAAAATCCAACAATCTTTCCCAACACAAAAATTTTTGCTTATTAAAATAGCTAAAAACTAAAATAGTTTACTAAAATAACTAGTTTCCCAAACAAGGCCATTATGTAATACAAGTTTTTTTGAGGTTAGAAATCTCGATCTAATTTTTTTATTTATTTTTTATTTTTTTAACACTTAAAATACACATGTCATTTTGTGATTAGTCTAAAATCTAATTTACATAAATTAAGTTAATTTTTAAATCTTCTTAATCATTATCAATAATATATTAATATTATTTTCTTAAATTTTGTGATTTGAAAATATGCAATGATGTAATTATTATTTTCAATTTCAGTAGATATGATCTAAAATCTATATTTATAATCCAATTTTTTTTAAAATAATAAAATACAAAAATATATGTGTCATAAATTCATTGGTTATTTCTTTAGTTGTAATTATTGATATTTTTAATTATTAGACCATCTCCAACGGTGCATCAAACCCAGCATCAGATTTGAAATTTGATGAAAAAGTCATTATTTGTGTCTCCAATGGTTTCACTAAATTGATATCAAAATGAGAACGGAACAAAACAAAACAAAAGTTTCATCAAACTGAGGACAAGCTCTAGATTTCATCTTTTCACTGTGCTATACCGTTGGGGTGGGCTAACCGGTCAACCAACCGGATGTCCGACCAATTGACCCACCGGTCGACCGGTTCCCTTTCAAATAGGTAGGTTCAAACCGGTCAAAAAGGTTCAAACAAGTTTTTAAAAAAAAAAAATTTGCCTTACCGGTCGACCCGCTGATTAAACCACCGGATGACCTTTTCCTTTTGATGCATGGTTGGAGCAAGCAATATCAGATTGAAAAAATTAGCTATTTTTTGCTCAAATTTAGTGAAAAAAGTAATGAACCATTGGAGATGCTCTTATGGTAATATATTTGTATCATAATTATCATCTTTCAAATTGTTAAATGTATAATTTTTTATGATATTGATAAAAATAAATGATAATTTTAAACTATAATAATAATGGAACACTACTCCACCAAATTTAGTTTGTTTATAGTATAAACAGTAAATATGAATCCATGTAATACATATTAATAGTTTTTGCAAAAAGTAAGTACCACCTCCGAGTTCATGTCTAGGTAAGGATGCCCCTACTGAATTTACTGAAAGGGCAACAAGAAGCAATCCATAAAAACCAAAAAATTCAAACTTTTTCTGCAAGAACAAAGGCCATGGTGACTCAGCGAGGAGGATGGATTCCGGTGGTGAAGCAAAGATGGAAGCAAGAAACAAGGAGATCAGTGGGCAGTGCAGCTGTCTTCACGGTGTTTGTGGACAACCTGCCTGGCTCAATGGATACCAAAGGATTGTTCAACCTGTTCGGGAAGTTTGAAGTTGTAAAAGATGTATTCATTCCGCAGAAGCGTAGAAGAAACACCAATACCATATTTGAATTCGTAAGATATAGCTGTGAAGTAGCAGCAAACGTTGTTGTGCAAAAGGCTAACGGTCTATGGGTGGATGATAAAAAATTATTCGTGAAATTTGCAACTTTCGATAAAAACAGAGAACAGGGGAAGTTCTATGCTCAAAAATCAACTCAGCACTTACACCCCAGAGGGGAGGTTAGGAGAGGCTCAGATCATTTCACCAGCAAGAATACATTTGCAGATGTGGTAAGAGGTATTCAGGTAATAGACAGAGACTCCATCACAGTTAAGGCAGAGGAGTATGGCAATGGGTGGCTCCATGACAGTGTCTTAGTCCACCTTAAAGTCAGCCATGTTAACATTAGTTTGAAGTTCGAACTTAATATTAGAGGAATAAATGGATTTGAAGCCAGAAAAGGAGACGGTCGTGATGTGGTGTTATCCTTCAAATCCAAAGAGGAAATGGTAACAAAGATGAAGGCCATCAAAGACATTATCGAAGAGTGGTGTGAAGTCATCATCCAATGGAGACCAGAGGTTGCTCTGGCACAAGAGAGACTAGTTTGGATTAGTTGTTACGACATTCCATTACATTTATGGAATAGGTCCAATCTCGCTAAGATTGGAAGCTTATGGGGTGAAGTTATTGAAGGTGCTGAATGCATGCCTCAGTCCCTTGGGTGTGGTAATATTAGGATCCTTACCAACTGCATGGAGCCTATCAACAAAGTCATCAACCTAGAGGCTAAGCATTCTTCTCATCCAGTGAGAGTATTGGAAGTTCAGGTCCTAGAAGCTAAAATATCTAATCAGTGCTGCAGTTGTTTGAATCATTTCGTTAAGATGAAGGAGCATAACGCTAATGAGGAAGAAGAGGATCACGACTCCAACAGAGTTGGTAAGCCATTATAGAACCTTCGAGATGAGTCAACTCAACCCGAGGAAGGTGAGTCAGCTCAGGGTGTGGACCAATTCAAAAATGAGGCCAAAAGAAGATCGGCACATGGGGATGGCAGTGTGATAGGGGCAAAATGGAAGAGTGATATGGTAGTGCCTGAGCTTGTAGCATAGTAGGCAAGGAGCTCGAGGCAGTGGCAGGTAGTAGTGCATTTAATGCCTCAAAACTGACTGATCAAGGTAATGATGGGCAAGTCTTCGCGCCTAGTTTTATGAGAAGTTTGAATAGTTCTAGCCTAAATATACCTGGGCTGAACTTGGAAGTGGTCCTGGGTCATAATAATTTAAATCATAAGTTGTGTGGGCTGAATGAAGTCCAGAGTGGGCTGAACTTGGAAATGGCCTTGGGCCATAATCATTTAAATCATGAGTTGGGTGGGATGAATGATGTCCAGAGTGGGACTGAGCTGTGTGATGCTCATGTGAATATAGGAGTTGTTGATGCTGGGCTTGGTTTTAGACAATCTAGTATTTCTCAGTCAACAGAGGAACACACACAGCACAAAGCCATAGCAGTTAAAAGCAAAGGTAAGGCAAAAGCAAAAGGGAAAGAAAAGATCAGCTTCCTCTGGCCGAAAAAGGGCTTATTGGGTCTGGAAAAAATGGTGGGTTCAACGGGTGCATCTTCTAGCAAATCAATCCCAAAGAGTTCTTTGCTTAGAGGATCTATAGCTCAAGCCTCACTGTTAGCGTCATATGGCAGCAGAAGAGATGGGGACAGAAGAATTTTAGATGAGGCACAAGCATGCTTGCAGATGGGTAAAGTGTTGGGAGTATAAATGAATGGTCAGGAAGCTGAAGTTCTGAAGAAGATTGTGGACCTGGAAGTTAAAGACATAGGTCAGATGGGCAGTGGGGAGGGTGTAGCAGCCTAATAGGCATACATTCTAGGAGCTCAAAGGTGTTTTTTATATTCCATGAAGATACTATCTTGGAACATTAGAGGAATAGGTCGGCAAGAAAAGAAGGGGAAGATTAGGAATATTCTGAAAGCTAGAAATGTTGATGTAGCTTTTCTTCAGGAAACCAAAAAATCTGTAGTAGTTGAAAAGGAAGTACGAGCAATGTGGGCAAGAAATAAGATGGAATTTTTGGCAGTGGATTCTGAAGGCCTTGCCGGAGACTACTATGCATTTGGGATCCAGAGGTATTTCAACTTAAGGAATGTTATGGTAATAGAAGATTTATTTTGCTCTCAGGTACTCTTTTCTCTTCTTTCAACTGTGTTCTTCTTAATATTTATGCGCCTAATGAAGTGTGTATTAGGGGTAAGTTGTGGGATCACTTGATAAAGCTCAAGAGAGAGTTTCCTAACCCCTAGTGTTTGTGTGGTGACTTTAATGAAATTAAAAGCATTGGTGAAAGAAAAGGCTGCATTAGAAGAGATAAAGAAATGAGAGAGTTCATTGATTTTATCAACAAATGTGAAGTGCGGGATCTGCCTTTACTTGGCAGAAAATATTCTTGGTGTAACTCACTAACAGGTGAAAAGTGAAGTAGAATTGACAGGGTGTTAGTTAACCCTCAATGGCTGGAGGCGTTCAATTTAAAATTATGGGGTCTCCCAAGCCTCATTTCTGATCACTGTCCTTTGCTATTGATGGAAGATGATCGAGACTAGGTTTAGAGTAATTAATGCTTGGAGCCTACACCCAAGTTTTCCGGCTTTTTGTGGAGAAGGTATGGAAAGAGACTATAGTTCTAGGATGGGCTAGGTTTGTACTTCACAAGAAGCTTAAATTATTGAAGGTAGAATTAAAGAAATGGCATAAAGAGGTATTTGGGTGTGTAAATGAGCAGTTAAAGGAAACAGAGAAGGAATTGCATCGTTTGGATTTATCTGCAGAGTCTAGAGACCTGGACAATTCAGAGAAAGACAGAAGAGGGGTAGTCAGAGCTCAAGTATGGAGATTAAGCAGAATGGTCGAGTGGTTGTGGTTGCAAAAATCAAGGCTCAATTGGAATTTGAAAGGGGATAGAAATACTAGATTTTTTCATGTGGTGACCAAGAGTAGGCAGAGTAGAAATGAGATCTCTTCAATTTCTGTGGGGAATGTGTTGTATGAAGACCCTGCTCGGGTTAGGCAAGTGGCCTTTGACCACTTCAGTAATCAATTCAAAGAGGACTGGAGAAGTAGACCCAAGCTTGGTGGTCAATTTAAATCTATTCTTGACTGCCCTAGAGTTGAAAGCTTGGAAGATGCATTTTCAGAGGAAGAAATCAGGGCTGCTGTGAAAGACTGTGATGGCAATAAGGCCCCTGGGCCAAATGGCTTTAACTTGTCTTACTTCCAAAGATTTTGGGAGTTATTGAAATCTGACTTGTTGCAGTTTTTCAAGGACTTTCATAGGAATGGTAGGTTGGTCTTGGGGCTTAATAGCTCCTTTATCTCTCTAATTCCTAAGGTT